TATATAGTGTAATAGGATTGTAGCATTTTTTTCTTTATACCAATGAATAATTCATTGTTAAGGACTATCAAGGGAAGTTAACTTACCAGTGGCTCATGCCCATAAGTCTAGCTACTTAAGAGGCTAAGATCTGAGGATCACAGTTCAAAGCCAGCTTGGGTAGAAAAGTCTATGAGACTCTTAACTTCAATCAACCACCAAAAAGCTGGAGTGGCGCTGGAGTACAAGTGGCAAAGTACTAGCCTCAGAGCAAAAATGCTCAGAGACAGTGCCCAAGCCCTGAGTTCAAACACTAGTACGCGCATAAAACAAATAACAAAATAAACTATCAAGGCCAAGGGCTTTTCCTTTCGATCTCCTCCAAATATAAGGTCCTGAGTTACAAACAAATACCATACCTTCTCTACTCTCTCCATGGTATGGAATTTTCCCCTTGCTATAAATATACATTTTGTATCTGATTTTCCTAATGCTTTGAGCAAACTGCTGGGTCACTGGGGAGAATTGATTCCGTGACCTGGCTGGCACCAAAATGAAAAAAACAGCCAGGGGGGGGAAATGGGATGATGTTGGAATTCTTGCCCTGGGGTTTGTTCAAACTAGACACTGATCACTTAAGATATTTTAAGCTGAGGATGTTCCGGATGTACCAGTCCGAGCTAGATTCTTAGGGGTTTTATTAGGCATTCGGGACAGTGGTTTGAAATAATTGACATTCCAACGTTTGCATGGGTAAGTGAACACAGCAGAGAGACAGATGAGCGCATCTAGTCGGGCTCATTAATGATGACCCTGGTTAACTTTCTTTGTTTAGCTCAGAGCCCCCGAGGCTGCCCAAGCACTGTCAATACACTTTGCTTCTCCCAGCAATTCCTGCTCAATTCGTGTGTCAGCCCCTGTCTATCCTTGGTGAGCAATGTCAAACTGAGTTCAAACCACATCCAGTCAGTGATGGGCTGTGGGGGGGAGGGGGGGTAGAAGGGAGTAAGGTCCCTTGAAGACTCTTCACTGTGAGATCATGGGAAAGATTTTTCAAAGGCTCTAGCCACAAAAACAAAATATAAAAAGCATAACAAAGGGACTGTGACTTTAAAATAGAAAGCATGCCTGATGCTGGTGGCTCATGCCTGTAATCCTCGCTACTCAGGAGGCTGAGATCTGAGGATCGTGGTTCAAAGCCAGCTAAGGCACAGGAAAATTCCTGAGACTCTTCTCTCCCAATGAACTACCCAAAAAGCCAGAGGTAGAGCTGTGGCTCAAGTGGTAGAGTACCAGCCTTGAGTAATAAAGCTCCAGGACAGCTAGGGACTGGTGGCTTGCACCTGTAATCCTAGCTACTCAGGAGGCAGAGATCTGAGGCTCATGGTTCAAAGCCAGCCCAGTTAGTCTTAGCTCCAATAAACTACTCAAAAAAAGCCGGACATGACAATGTGGCTAGCCGGAAGTGACAATGTGGCTCAAGTGGTAGAGTGCTAGTCTTGAGTAAAAGAAACTCAGGGGACAGTGCCCAGGTCCAGAGTTCAAGTCCCAGGAATGGCAAAAAAAAAAAAAAAAGAAAGAAAAGAAAAAACTCCACAACAGTGCCCAAGCCCTGAGCTCGAGCCCCAGGACTGGCACAAAAAGAAAGAAGGAAGGGGGGTGGGGTGGGGAGGAGAGACAGACTAGAGGGGGGGAGGGAGGGAAGAAGGGAGGAAGGGAGGGAGGGAGGGAGGGAGGGAGGGAGGGAGGGAAGGAGGGAGGGAGGGGAAAGTCTGTGAGACTCAAATCTAATTGACCACCAAAAAGCTCCAAAGAGTAGAATGCTACCCTTGAGCCAAAAAGCTAAGGGACAGGACCCAGATGCTGAGTTCAAGCCCCAGTACCAGAAAAACAAAAAAGACCCCAGAAGAATAAATGAGCAATATATATTATATGTATGTATGGAAATATGGAAATATCACAGTAAATCTCTCACTTGGTTCAATGGATAACATTTGTTCAATTAATAGATAATAATAATTTTTCAAATGATAAAGGAGGAGCTGTCTAGTAGACCATATCTTCTTTTGATATTTTGAAAGCTAACCTGAGTTGGGAAAACAGCATGACTAATTTTCTAGTCAGGAAATAGTTGAAGCTATTTGTTTAAAAAAAAAAAAGAACTAAAGAAAGAGGGCTGGGAAGCTGGCTTAGCGGTAGAGTGTTTGCCTTGCATACATGAGGCCCTGGGTTCCATAAACAGAAAAGGCTGGAAGTGGTGCTGTGGCTCAAGTGGTAGAGCGCTAGCCTTGAGCTGAAGAGCTGAGGGACAGCGCCCAGGCCCAGAGTTCAGGTCCAATGACAGAGAGAGAGAGAGAGAGAGAGAGAGAGAGAGAGAGAGAGAGAGAGAGAGAGAGAGAGAGAGAGAGAGCGCATACTTTCAATAGCACTCAGCAACAAACAAGACAAAGTCCAAGTTACCATTTGATTCCTCCCCACCCATGACCCCATTACTTTGCCCACTTTATCTCCTGGGCCACTGACACACACCCTAAATAGTAAACACATTTGATACATCCTGCCCTGGCTTCAGGTAGGTCTAAAGGAGGGGTAGTATTCAGCTACAATTGAGAGCTGAAAACACTAGCATCTCTCTGATGTTGATGGCTAAAAGATGCAGGAAGCCCGGCACTGGTGGCTCACGCCTGTAATCCTAGCTACCCAGGAGGCTGAGATCTGAGGATCGCCGTTCAAAGCCAGCCCCAGGCAGGAAAGTCAGTAAGACTCTCATCCCCAATTAAAGAGCAAAAATCTGGAAGTAGAGGTGTGGCTCAAGTGATAGAGCACCAGTCTTGAGGAAAAAGGCTAAGGGAGAATGCTCTGGCCCCAATACCCACACAAAAACAAAACGACACTTGACCTCACATTTGCCTTGGCAGTACCCTCCACTGAGAACGTTATGTTTTCTTCTCATCTACAAAACTTCCTGCTCTTTCATTGCGACTTCTGAGTTCCTATCCTAACTTCCAGTTCCAAATTGGAAGCTGTCTCTTTACTGTTCACCATGCTGTTTTTCCACAGTATTTACACTCTACGCTATAACTTACATGGTATATTATTCCGTTTTCAGATTCACTGTATTACTTCTGTTCCTTCCAGATAAATGTACTCCACTCGGTCTGGGTGTCCATATCTCTGCTACCATGTGTCACAGCCTCTGAAAAAAGATCCTGGCTCAAACTAGGTATAAACATGTGTGGAGCAAGTGAAGTTTTAAAAACACAGCATGGAGGGGCTGGGAATGTGGCTCAGTGGTAGAGCGCTTGCCTAGCATGCATGAATGAAGCCCCAGGTTTGATTCCTCAGTACCACATAAGCAGAAAAAGCCGGCAGTGGCGCTGTGGCTCAAGTGATAGAACACAAGCCTGGAGCTAAAGAGCCCAGGGACTGTGCCTTGGCCCAGAGTTCAAGCCCTATAACTGACCAAAAAAAAAAAATAGTTTGGAGCTGTTCAGAAGGCTGAGATCTAGAGGATGAAAATTTGAGGCCAGGAAAGTTAGACAACATCTTCAAAATAAGTAGCAAAAAGCAGGGCTATAGGCCTGGCTCAAGTGTAGAGTGCCTGCCTAGCAAAAGTGAGGCCCTGAATTCAAACCCCATTACCATCAAACACCAAAACAAAACAGCCAATAACATAGTCAGGAGGTAAGGTTTTGGGGTAGTGTTTGTCTAGCGTGCTGAGACGCTGAACTCTATACCCATCACGACAAAATGATTCCCATTTTGTTTTCTAGCTTTAGAGTGTTAATCCCCCCCCCCCCCCACACACACACACACGAGAAAATATCTCAAAGTGTTACTGGCAAGTTCAGGTCATTATTTCCCCCTTCCTTGTTTCCCCCTGGGTTTAGTATCAAAATTTCACATGCAAAATGATTCTATTTGGCCAGGCATGATAGTTACTTACCTATAACCCTAGCACTCAAGCAGGAGGGTCAGAGTTCAAGGCCATCCTGGGCTACATAATGAGATTCTATCAATAAAATAATTTCATCAGGAGAAACTTGCTAAACCAAACCGCTCCTTCTGTAGACGCACACAGCAAATTGGTTTGTTTGGGGTGTTTTTTTTCCTGTCAATTGCCTGAGGCTGTTTCCCCTGTACGCCATATGAAGAAAAAGATTGATAGCCTTTCAAAAAAAAAAATAATAAATTAATAAATAAAGCAAAATAACCATCATGCTCTTCTCTCCTCGGTCGTTAACTATGAAGGAAACAGCACCCCACGCCTCTCCAATCCCATCCCTGCGGGAACACACCCACCTAGCAACGGGGGTGGGAGAGCCGAACCGAAGCGAGATGCTGCCTGCGCCTTTAATTCCTGGGTTTGGGGGGGGGGGGTGTTGGAGAACCTCCCCTCCCCCTCTCATTCCCTCCGCGGGCACCGGTGGCAGCTGTCACCTGGACGGAACATGGAGGAACCCGGCGCCCATTGGACAGAAGATCATAAAGGCAGACACCTACCCCCGGAGGCTGGGGGGCCCCGGCGGGGTGCGGAGGGGAGGGCTCCCCGATGCCCTTCGCCCCGAGCCATCAGGGTGCGGTGACGCGGGCGTGATCGAGGTCCAGCTTCAGCCGAGCAACCAGGTGAGCGTGACCGCGGGGTGGACGCATCCTCCCGCTCCCCCAACCCCGGGGCCGGGGATCCTGCACTCCCCGGAGTTCTCCTCCGGATCGCAGGGGGTGGGTGGGTGTGGGAAGCTCGGATCGTGTGCACACCGCGTCCCCCTCTTTCCTCCCGAGACACCCCCCACCCACCCCGGATCACGCACCCCTCACCCCGGAGCTCCCCAGATCCCCGGGTAGGGAGTCCCCCCCCCCCCAGCCCCATTATCACGGCGGGGAGTCCCGGATCTCGCCCCGGGATCGTACACCCCCAACTAACCGCCCTCCGGATCTCGGCAGGGAGCCTCCGGATCGCGCACCACCTTCCCGGATCGCGCACACCTTCCCGATCGCGGCGGGGATCCCCGGCTCCCGCCATGGCGCTGGCGGCCGCCGCCGCCGCCGCCGCCGCGGGGGTGAGCCAGGCGGCCGTGCTCGGCTTCCTGCAGGCGCACGGCGGGCAGGTGCGGGACTCGGAGCTGCTGAGCCGCTTCCGGCCGCTGCTGGAGGCCGGGGACCCGCGCGGCCGCGCCGCCCGCAGGGACCGCTTCAAGCAGTTCGTCAACGACGTGGCCGTGGTGAAGGAACTCGACGGCGTCAAGTTCGTGGTGCTGAGAAAGAAACCTCGACAGCCGCCAGGCCCGCAGCCCCTGCTCCCGCACACCCCGGGGGTCCCCGCGCCCCCGACCTCGTGCACCCCACCAGGGGATCCCGAGGAGGAAGGAGCCCCATCTTCCACCTCGGGGGCCCCGCCGTCCGAGCCACAGGACCCCCCGGGGGCTGCCGAGCCCACCACGGCGGAGCTGTCGGAAGAACCGGCCCAGCCGTCCGGGGGAGCCGCCGATCCGCCGGATCGCGCGTCAGGAACAGCCCGGCCCTCCGAGGAACCGCCTGCCGACGTGGCCCCCGCCACCTGCGCACCCTCCTCGGAGGCTCCAGATCCGGAGCCCGGGCCGAGGATCGCGAAAGGATCCCCGCCGCCGCCCCGGCCCCGCGCGCCGCCACAGCCGCCCAAACCCTGCATGCTGCCGGTGCGCTGCTGCGTCCCGGGCCCCGCCGCGCTGCGCGTGGTGCGGGCGGACGAACAGAGTCTGCGCCGGCAGCTGTCGGAAGAACGGAGCCCGCGGAGCTCCCCGCTGCTCCTGCGGAGGCTCTCGGTGGAGGAATCCGGCCTGGGGTTGGGCCTGGGTCCCGGCCGTTCCCCTCACCTGCGACGCCTGTCACGCGCCGGCCCGCGTCTCCTGAGCCCGGATCTGGAGGAGATGCCCGCCGCGCCCTCCTCCGCGTCCGCGCCGCCGTCCGCCGTGCCGCTGGAACCCGCCGAGCACGAGTGGCTCGTGCGCACCGCCGGCGGCCGCTGGACCCACCAGTTGCACGGGCTGCTGCTGCGGGATAGCGGCCTGGCGGCCAAACGCGACTTCACGTCGGGTTACACCGCCCTGCACTGGGCCGCCAAGAGCGGCGACCGCGAGATGGCGCTGCAGCTGGTGGAGGTGGCGCGGCGCGGGGGCGCGCGCGTGGACGTGAACGCGCGCTCGCACGGCGGCTACACCCCGCTGCACCTGGCCGCGCTGCACGGCCACGAGGACGCCGCCGTGCTGCTGGTGGTGAGCCTGGGCGCGCAGGTGCACGTGCGCGACCACAGCGGACGCCGCCCCTACCAGTACCTGCGGCCCGGCGCCTCGTACGCACTGCGTCGTCTCCTAGGCGACCCCGGCCTGCGTGACGCCGGCGAGCCCGACGCCAGCGGGGGCAGCGGCGGCGGCGGCGGCGGCCCCTTAGCCGCGCGCCATCCCGTGCAGGTGGCCGCTACCATCCTCGGCTCCACCACCAGTGCGTTTCTGGGGGTCCTGGCGGATGATCTGATGCTCCAGGATTTGGCCCGTGGCTTGAGGAAATCGAGTTCTTTCAGTAAGTTTTGGGGCGCCTCACCGATGGCTCCCCGGAAAAAGGCGAAGATCCGAGGCGGCCTTGCGACGTTCTCGGAAGCCTCACGTCGATCCGTTACGATGGGGCACTTGGCTGGTTTAATGCCCAGTCTGCCCCCTTCGACCTGAAAGTTCTTTGCTGGGGGGGGTGGTGGAGGAGGGGTCCTTGGGGGAGATTGGCCTGGTTGATCTAACTAACCAAGGGGCCTGGCCCAAGATTTGGGGGCTCAACACACTGGCAGCCTTCGGCCCCCCCACCCCCCCCCCACACCTCTCCCCACTTTGTTTCTACCTTTGTGGGCTGCACGCGGCTTCACCCAGTTGGATCTGCACCAGTACCTTCCGTCTGATCTGTCTCCAGAGATGGTAATTCAGAGATCTCAGGAGGAGGAGGCTTCTGGGAAGAGACTCAAGGAGTTCAGGCTTGAACTCTGGAGGAAACTTGAAATTGGGGGGGGGTTCAAAGGTTAAGGGGCAACAGCTGGTCTGGGCCCCCACCATGAGTTAACTAGCTGGCTCTGCAGTCTAGGACACCCCCAAGTCAGAACTTGGCTGGTTTGTCAACTTTCTAATAGGGGGTGATTTTGTAGTTTGATGCTTTTATTCTGGGTTGTTTTTTTTTTTTTTAATTGAAAAAAATGAGGTAAAGCAACCTTCATAATAAACCTTTTGAGTATTTTTTTCCCTCTTTCCCATTTTTAGGCAAAGTGCTCAGACGTTTTCAGTCTTTGGCTAAATATTTTGGATACTATGTAAAAAAGAAAAAGTGGAAAGAATTAAGATCTAATGAAAATTAGTGCCCAACCAACCAAACTTTTTTTTTAAAAAAAAAGTTTATCTACCTCATTTTTAGATAAACAAGATTCTGGGGAATCTAAAACACAGAATAACCATGTGACCCTTCTGAATGTAACCAATTTCAATCATGCTGTGAATGCTGAATGGTAGGAAGCAAGTGTATCTTGGGAATAAAAGTGATTTTCATAAAGAGAAAAGAGACATTTGGGCAAATACTCTTCCGACCATGGTGAAATGTATACGTGTTTGGCCCTCGTGAGTGGCTATTTCGATTTGGCTTGAATATTTACATTCTAAAATTGTGCTTTACCAGTGAAATACACTTTTGTGTCATGCTGCTGAATCTGATTTTCACATCTGGTTGAGTCTTTCAGTGTAAGGGGGAAAAAAACACAAGGCAAAAAAACAAAAAACCAAACCTCATTAAGTAGTAATTGACATATTTAAGATATAATTTTGTATGAATGTTTTGAACAAAAAGTCGTCTGTGATATCTATTTTTAAAAACTATAAATAGGAAATGGAGAATCTTTGCTCAGTGATTTTAGGCATATGGATCAACATCCCTGGATGTTTGTTCCCATCTGCATTTTCAGAATGTTTGTGAGTATTGCCTGATTTGGGCCTAGTATAATGATATTGGCATTTATTTTTCTGTTCTAAAGATGTCGAATCCAGACAAAGATGTAGACTCTACATGCTTAACTGCTTTTTTCTATCATGTGGTGATGATATTCTGCTTTTGAAAATTCGGTTTGCATGTCAAATTTATTTTTGTGGCACCGGATTTCTGTCCTCAATATATGTTAGTGAGGCCTTTAAAATGCTTAAAGGCAATCATTCATGGAATGTTTTAATTTAAGCATTGAAATAAACAGTCCCTTATTTTATTCAGCTTTTGCTACTGTATTTTTTTGTTACGTAATTTCTTAATATGTTCCCCTTTCCTTCTAATTTAGTATATATCCATTATGGTGAGAAAGTTTCCCAGGGTGCTGGTGGTTCATGCCTGTAATCCTAGCTACTCAGGAGGCCGAGATCTGAGGATCCCAGTTCAAAGCCAGCCTGGGCAGGAAAGTCCGTGAGACTCTCATCTCCAATAAACCACAAGAAAATGGGAAGTGGTGCTGTGGCTCAAGTGGTAGCATGCTCACCTTGAGCTGAAGAGCTGAGGGATAGTGCCCAGGCCCAGAGTTCAAGCCCCACTATCGACATAAATAGAGAGAATGTTTCATTGTGACATTTCCACACTCATGTGCAGGGTTTCCCAGTCCTGGATCACTTTCTCTTACTATACTCCTTTTTGCACTCATGGCTGGTGCTCTACCACTTGAACCATATCTCCACTTCTAGCTTTTTGTTGGCTAATTGGAGTGTCATGGACTTTTCTGCCTGGGCTGGCTTTGAACTACAGTTCTGAAATCAATCTCAGCCTCCTGAGGATGTAGAATTATAGGTATGAGCCATTGGCACCCACCTCATTGTCAATTTCAATACTATTTTCATATATGCAAATAAACCAGCCTGATCCTATTCATCCTCATTCGATTTACTTGGTTAACCCTCTTCTTGGCATCTCCTTCACCTTTTGCTGCCATTTCCCCTGCCTCTTCAAGCCTCATTCAGAATTTGGATCTCTTCTCTCTCTCTCTCTCTCTTTTGTCAGTTGTGGGGCTTGAACACAGGGCCTGGGCACTGTCCTTGAGCCTCTTTGTGCTCAAGGCTAGCACTCTTTGAGCCACAGCGCCATTTCTGTTTTTTTGAGTGGTTAATTGGGGTTAAGAATCTGCCCAGGGGGCTGGGAAGGTGGCTCAGTGGTAGAGCGCTTGCCTTGCATGCTCAAGGCCCTGGGTTCGATTCCTCAGCACCACATAAGAAAAAAGCCGGGAAGTGGCGCTGTAGCTCAAGTGGTAGAGCGCTCGCCTTGAGTTGAAGAGCTGAGGGACAACGCCCAGGCCCAGAGTTCAAGCCCCACGACCGACAAAAAAAAAAAGAAAAAAGCCGGAAGTGGCGCTGTGGCTCAAGTGGTAGAGTGTTAGCCTTGGGCTGAAGAGCTGAGGGACAGCACCCAGGCCCAGAGTTCAGGCCCCATGACCGGACCCAAAAAAAAAAAAAAAAAGAATCTGCCCGGGCTGGCTTTGAATTACGATCCTCAGAATTCAGCCTTCTGAGTAGCTAGGATTATAGGCGTGAGCCACCACCAGTGCCTGGCTGGATTTCTCTTAAAGTAAGAGGAAAAAAAAAGTAATATGATCGCCAAGAACTGTAGATAAATGTAGGCTCTGATGTGAACCTTCCTTAGAACTCTAGCTAGTCTGCATAAATTACTTTAACATGCTAATGAAACCTTCTGCCTCCGCAGAAAAATTCTAGGAAGCAATCATTGTAGCAATTGAAATAGCTGAAGAGCTAGAAGACAGAATGAAATATTCGAGATTCCTTATTGGAGAGGCCTGACTGAGAAAAGATGACAAAGGTCACAGACAGTTCCCATTTTGCCTTGAGACAGACAAAATCTAAAATAATAACTGATATTTAGTGTGCATCAAGAGTTGTCAGAAGAATCTTGGCATACCTGTAATTCTAGCTTCTCAGGAGGCTGAGATCTGAGGATCATGGATCCAAGGTAACCCAGGCAGGAAAGTCTGTGAGACTCTTATCTCCAATTAACCATTGGAAAACTGGAAGTGGCATTGTCTTGAGCAAAGAGCTCTGGGACAGCGCCCAAGCCCTGAGTTCAAGCCCCAGGATCATGTCTGTTTGCCCAAATTGATAACATGTTCTGAGTATCTTAAATAAAGGATATATTGCTGGATGCTGGTGGCTCACGCCTGTAATCCTAGCAACTCAGGAGGCTGAGATCTGAGGATCATGGTTCCAAGCCAGCCTAGGCAGTTAAAGACTGTCAGACTCTTATTCCCAATGAACCACCAAAAGCCAGAAGTGGAGTTGCAGCTCAAGTGGTAGAGTGCTAGCCTTGAGCAGAAATAGCCCAGGGACAGCACCCAGGCCCTGAGTTCAAGCCCCAGGACTGGTACACACACAAAAAAGTGTACTATAGAGTGGAGGGATCAGACAGGATGGAAGGAATGATAGAAGGAATGACAACAGGAATCATGTTAAATTGGAACCCCTTGTACCACCTTTTGAAGCTCAAGGGAAAAAATTAAAAATAAAACAGTATTCTTTATTTTACCTATAGGTAAAATAAAACTTTTGCCAAGTATTTAGCATCTCTATACATAAAACACAAGTGTTAGAAACCACTGCTGTTTCCTAGAAAGCCAAGACTATCTGAACAGGTAAAGTAAATCAGTAAAGAATTATAGTTAGAGCCGGGCACCAGTGGCTCATGCCTGTAATCCTAGCTACTCAGGAGGCTGAGATCTGAGGATCTCGGTTCAAAGCCAGCCCAGACAGGAAAATCCGTGAGACTCATCTCCACTAAACCACCAGAAAACCAGAAGTGGCGCTGTGGCTCAAGTGGTAGAGCGCTCGCCTTGAGCTGAAGAGCTGAGGTACAGTGCCCAGGATCAGAGTTCAAGTTCCACAATCGACCAAAAAAAAAAAAATTACAGTTAGGCATGCTTATGGAAAGTGTTCCAAGAGCCATATATTAAATTTCACAAAAAGAAAGAATTGCAAGGTGTGTCAGTGGGCACATCTGGCAAAGAGTATATACCCAGCCACCGACACATTCACTTCAAAGGCAATTAGAGTGGTTAAGACTTGTCACGAGAATGACTCGTTTTAATGCAAGAGAAGTTAATTGTTCATGGAGATGGGTCTGAGTCATAACCACAGTAAACTTCTTAATAAAGTTTTAGATTCCCTTTCATGGATGTGGGAGAGATTTTTGAGCAAACCCCGCTCATCTCATGGAGACCCAGGGCATGGGAAATGTACCCGTCAGCTGTGTTAATGAAGGAACTGCCGGGCATAGCTCTAAATGCTTTGAAATTATTAACAAATCTTATATAATCATTTTGTTGCTGGTTGGGGCTTGAACTCAGGGCCTGGGTGCTATCCCTGAACTTTATTGCTCAAGGCAAGCGCTTGACCCACAGCACCACTTCCAGTTTTCTGATGGTTAATTGGAGATAAGAGTCTCACAGACTTTCCAACTGGGTTGGCTTTGAACTGTGATACTTAGCTCTCAGCCTCCTGAGTAGCTAGGATTATAGGCATGAGCCACCAGTGCATGGCAAATCTTACATAATCTTAGTGTCTGGCTTTGTGTGTGTGTGTCAGTACTGGGACTTGAACTCAATGGAATGGGCACTGTCCTTTAGCTGTTGCACCCAAAGCTGGTGCTCTACCACTTGAGCCAC